ATGATATGTTCCAATGTATTTGGGACTTCTATTTACATATCTTATATTACTTTTTGTTTAATTATTTACTTTAAAGTTTATTTTATTATTTGTTCTATTTTTTTTTTTTTTTTATAATTTTTTAATATTATATATAGAAAAGTTTTTTTTTCTTATGTTTTTACCTTTTAAATATTAATATTAATATATTTTTTATATAAATAAATTATATATTAAATAATTTAATATGTTTTTTATTTATAAATATTTTTTTATATATTAGATATTAATTATTATCTTAATTAATTTGATAATGAGTTTTTTTTACAAATGTATAAATAATAAATAATATTTATTTTTTTATATATAATATTAAAATAAATAAATCTATTATAATAATTTATATAAAATAAGAAAAAATATTTAAAATTCAATTTATTATTTAAATTAATTATAATAAGATAAGATGTATTTTTTTTTATATATATATATATATATTAAATTAAAAAAGTAAATTATTTTTTTACTAAATATTATTGCAATTAAAAATAAATAATTTGATAATTATTATATATTAAACATAAGTTTATAATAATTTTAATTAATTATTTTTAAGACCATATATTAGATATTTTTATAAAAAAATTTCAATGTTTTAAAATTAATTTAATAAATTATTAACTAACCATATATAAGATAAATTAAAAAAAAAAATCATTATAAATAATAAATATAATTTATAAAAACATTTATATAATTAAAAATAATATTTAATATAAAAATAATATTAAATTATTTTTATATATTATACGAAATAGTATTTATTTTAACTATTGTAATTAATATTATGTATTTTTTATAATTAATAACCTTTTTTAAAAAAATGTAATTTTCATTAGATTTAGTTAGTTATTTTATAATATTTTGTTGAATTATTTTAATATTTTAAACTTAATTTTCTAATAATATTATAAATTTAAATAATTTTAAAAATATATTATGCAGTTTCTTTAATAGTTTATTAATTATATTTTTATAATTGTTCCTTTGATTTGTATAACTTCAGAAATGTTAAACTTAACATACTAAAAGTTTAATTTATAAAAAATACTATATTATAATTGTCTTTGAGCAATAAAAAAGCAATCTTATAATTGCTTAATTAAATGACAACTATTTATAATATAAATTACTCTTACTTTATAATAACACAAATTACTTATTTTTTATAGAAAAAAAGAAGATAAATAAAAATAAATATAAAAATATAATTTATAAATATAATTTTTTTATTTTTATTTATTCATAAATTCTAAACTATTTATAAATATAATAAACTTAAATTTATATAAATAACAAATACATATAAAATAATAGATATCATTTTTAATTTTCAATTCTATTAATATGCTTATATATATTCTCAACAAGTTAATTTTCTGAAGTTTTATTATCATAAAAATCAACAAACTTTCCATTTTTATCCATAAAAAATACATTTGTAGTATGATCCATGGTATACTAATCTTATTAATTTTGCTTATTTTTATTTATCTATTAATCATCTTCCATTTCATCATAATAAACTTTATTAGCAACAACCCTGAAGCTTTAAAGCATGTTTTTAAAATCTTAATCTTCACTACTAATACCTGTTAGTCCAATAAAATCCTATTCAAACTAATTTAAATAAAACCTAATTTTTTCTGGAGAGTCTCTTTCGGGATCTACACTAATAAATACTAACTTTACATTTAGATTTTTATTTTATTTTAACTTTTTTAAAGTACTTGCTAATTTTATCAAATTAGCCGGACATATATCCGGACAGGAAACAAATCCAAAATAAACCAAATAATACTATCCGAATAAATCTTTGTCTGTAAATTTTTTACCTTCAGTATTTATTAGTTACCAATCACCTCCGATTTCGGATTTTCCTCTATGAGAAACTTTCACTTCTTCAGCTTTTCGGTATTATTTTTGAATATAATTTAATTTATATAAAATGTATAAGGCCCCAGTTGTTATTAAACCTAATATTATAATTTAAATTCTATCTTATTTTGGTTATTCGCTTTCTGGTTAGGAATCAACTTTATTATTACCTTTATTTTTGTTTATTTATATATTGTTGGGTTTATTTTCTGTGCTAAAACAGTATTTGCTTGCAAATTAGTGGAATTTTTTTTTTTATTGAATTATTTATTAATTTTTGGCTATTGATTTTGCAAGTAAAGTAAAATATTTGTTATTCATTATTTTCTAATGTATTTATGAAGATTTAAGATATTTATTTATTCAAATAGCTATATATAATTTTAGTAAAATTTTATTTTTAATTTTTTATATATAAAATAAGCAATGTGAATTGAAAAGTTATAAAAAAAAATTCTAGAATTATAATTTCAACAATAAATAAAAATTTAAAAATTAAAAATTATTAAATTATATATTAATATTCAAAAAAAAAAATCACACCTAAAACAATATCAAAATTAAATTTATTCCATTTCCACATCTTTTGCTTTTCCTTTAATATTTTTAATTTAGAAACCAATATTTTAATCAACATCTTCTACTTGTTCCATAACAGTCTATCTATTTTTTTTAACAACTTATTCAATAAACTTAATCAAATAAACATCTTCTAAAGCTACAAAATTATCATTTGATGGATTTATATATGTGAATTAATCCAAAACTTCTTAACTTCTAGAATTTTTCATAGACCCAGCAATAATATATGCCCCGTTTTCAAATAAGATATTCTAAGTATTAGCCAAAGAGAAAAATTCAGCATTTTCACAATAATCATTTAAATTATTTTCATTTAAATTTTTTAAAGGTCCTGCTTTATCAGGATTGATTTTAACAAAATAAATAATACTTTTCATAAAAACCCTTTATTCAAAACTTCTATTGTTTCTCATAATTTCCTTAAAAATTCCAAAAGGAATATAATTACACTTTACATGAGTCAAAGCTTTTGCTGTACAAACGCTTTTTTAATCAGAATCTGATACACAATGTGCATATGAAAGAATTCCTCCAATTCCTATATGTAAAGAGAAGTTTTAGGTTATTTACTCACTTACAGCTCCTTGTGTTATTATATAAATATGTCTAAAAGGCTCATCTTTAGTATAAATTTCTTCCCCCTCTTCAAATGACTTCATTTTTTAATTTTATTGTAATAGTTTTAATTAATCTTCTGTTAAAGAGTTAAATACTGGGAACTATAATAAAATAGATTAGAATGTGGGTAAAACCAAATCGAATTCCATATTTTCTAACATTAAAGCCTTTTTATCTATTTTACTTCTATAATGTATATAATCATTATTATCTATATATCCTTTGTTTCTATAATCCAAAAGAAAATGTTTTTAAGCTTCAATAATACTATTTGCAGCCTTTTTTGTGTGTATAGATTTTATTATTTGAGGGAAATTATCTGAAAGTTCCGCTAAATAATGCTAGGCTAATTTCACACTTAAATTAAGCTCCTCATCTATTTAAGCAACAAAATGTTATGATATAGGTAAAGAACTTTATATTTCTTCAATTTCATGTGCTGTTTATATAAAGCAAGATACCACTTCATATACAAAAGATAAATGCTATAAAATATATGTTTTAGCTATTGAACCTAAATATCATAAAAAAAATTAATAATATATATATATATATATATATATATATTTATATATATAGTTTTTATTTATATATATATAAATATTTTATATATATATAACCTATAATTATCCAATTATTTACAGCAAACATAAACTTCAAGGTTTAAAAATCAGAAAAATTAACAAATATTAAATCCCATAATTTTAAAGGTTTCTATGTATGCTCCAATGATCTATTCATAGCTTCATCAAGTAATTTGATTGCATTAGCACTCAATTATCCACACTCGTAATTTTCCCAAAATAATCCTTTCATAGATCTTAGCATTCTAAACCTAATTTCTTATAAAACTTCATTTTTATTAAATCCTGTATAAGTGGATTTTCTTTAACTAATATTAACTCCTTCCTAACTTCTATACATTTCATTTTTAATTTCTTCCAAACCTGAAATTTTCTCCACCTTATTCCAATCTGCCATTTATAAAAAATTATTTCCCTTAAACGACTTAACTTTATCATCGCAGTTATTTATCATATTTTTAACTGTATTTTACAAAAGTCTATTTTTAATAGCTGTAGTTTCCACAATATTTAAATATTTTACTAAAGCCCCGCAAGTAGTCCCATTAACCAAAAGAGTTAAAGTAGCCGTCCCTGCCATATAAAAAACCGTCAATTGTTTTAATCTAACGCTCTCGATTTCATCATCTACCAAAACCATTAAGGATAAAGTCAATCCTAAAGCCCCTCTTAGTCCTCCCCAGACTAAAACATAAAGTTCCTGTTAAGTTATTGGGTATCCAGATTATTTTAAAAAAGGCATTAGTATTATTACCATTAAATATCTTGTTATTATCATTAAAACCCAAAAAACAATTAATTTTACCCAATCCGAAGTTGTAATAGTGGATTGTCCTACTATTTCGACCCCAATAAGTAATCCTGTTAATAAAAATATTAAAGTTTCGCACACATATTAAGCAAATGACCAAACAGTATGCACTGCATGCTCACTTTCTGGGTAGATTTTTACTTTTCCGTTTGCACTCATAAATAATCCTAATACTACAATAGAAAGAATTCCTAATAAAATTTGTTTATTTTATATTTTAGAATTTTATTTTATATTAAAAAAAACCTGAAACAGCTAAAAATGTAAATTCAGCTAAATAAAAACAAATATAACATACTATAAAAGTAACAGTGGAAGTTAAAACGTCATCTCTAATGATTCTTCTTAACCAATAAGATCCTAAAATCCCCATTACAATACCTAAAAAAGGTCCTCCTAAAGACGTTCTGCAAAATCCAAGAACAACACTAACAGGATTTGAACTTCTTCCCTTTTCTAAATTAATGAAAACCTAGTAAAAAACCATTGCAGTACCATCATTTAGTAAACTTTCTCCCTCAATTAATGTATTAAATTGCACGGAAGCACCCAATTCTTTTAACAAAGCAACCACAGCAACAGGATCTGTGGCACATAAAATAGATCCCATAGTAAGTGCCCCATACCATGTAATATCATCATAAGAAAGGATAACTTTTATACATATGGCAAGAATTGTAGCGCCTATAAATACTCCTGGACCTGCTAAAAGTATGATATTAACTAAAGCACGTTTAAATACATACCAATCACAGTTAAAACCACTTTCAAAGATTAGAACTGGAATAAATATAAATAGAATCATATGAGGATTTATTTAACTCCATATTTTAACTGCATCGCCAATAAAACCTAGTTTTTTTTAATATAATTAGTTATCTATTATTTTTTAAAAAACCTAGTTCATTTCTATAGGCTGCAAATATCATTCCTAAAATTATTAACATTGGTGTATATGGAATTTTTGTGGCCTAGTTGACTTATCGAAGAATTCCTCCGAAAAATAAACCGAAAAATACAAAAAATAATATTAAAGGCTATTAATGTTCAGATCCCTCATGTACTGATGAGCTTTCTTATGTATTATGTTCATTATTTAAAACGTTTATGTTCATTTTTATTAAAATTTTCTTTTATATTTTATTTGATTTTTTTTTAAATAAAATTTTTATTTATTTTACTTTTTTTTTCTTCTTATTTTATTTTATAAATATTTTTTTTATAATTATTTAATAAATATTTGTAACTATTTTCAATTTATTTAATATTTTTATATCAGACTTCGTTAAATATTATTTAATTTAATGTGTATATTTATTAAAAAGATATTTTTAGAAAAAGCTTAATGTAAATTAAAATATATAAATAATTATTATATATTGTTTATTGTATTTTAATAAATTATATAATTTTTAATTTATTATTATTTTTAATATTAACATATATAAAAAATCAATTAAAAAATATTAAAAAGAATTAAGATTTAAAATTTTTTCTTCGTTTAAATGTTTTTTTTTTAAAAAAAAATATAAGTAATATAAAAATAATTCATTTTCTAAAAAAAATTAAAAAAAAAATAGACATAAAAAAATTTAAAGAAATGGCAAAAACTAAAGAGTAAATTTTAGAAAAAGCAAACATTTTTGTGTGTAATTCAACAATGTTTTTTATAGTAAGTTTAATTCTCTCATCATCACTACTTCTCTATTTTACAAATGAATATTTCACCTAAATATCAGATGTTCCAAAAGAAATACTAGCCATATATGATGTCTCTAATTTTATTCCATTAGTAGGTTATAGAGTTCGTTAAATAAATGCAGATTAAAAGTAAAATAAAAACAATAAAATTAAAATAAATAAATAAATAGTGGAAAAAATCAAACAAACTTATATTTTCATTTATAAGAATTACAATATGACCGAGATTCATTCAGAAATAAAGCAACAAAAGATTTAACTTTATTAAATGCTAAATTCAATAAGGATGCAAATTCCAACAATAAGCCTTAATTTAATAAATCTCCTTTATATACACAAGAAAGTATGATGAATGGAGGCGCAGGAACTGGAGCAGGAACAGGAGGGTTAGGAGGAACAGTGCCTAATCTAGATAAAATCGACCTTGGATTCGGATTTAATATATTGAGTTTATATATGAGTATGAACGTTCCTTCTATAGGAAACACATAATAGTAATTAGATTAATATATAATGGAAACTTTAGTAAGTTTTAAAGACTAATGTGAATAGTTTGTCGAAAAAATAAAGACTTATTATGAAAACTTTAATGAAAAATACTAATTTATATATGTTATTTTCTCATGTATTAAATATTTAATATTCCTTGTACTAATATACAGACTTTATTGGGCAATAAATACACTTAACGAGACCAGAATTTCATTCGAAGAATATTCAAAAATGAAACTTGGATTTCCTTTAATAATTTTATGTATTGGGCTATTTTTAGGAGGATGTTTCTAATATAGATTTTTCGATCAAGTTTTTTTCAATATCAATGGAAGTATTTAATTTTCTTAAATTTTAGCTTAAAGGAATAGCCATCTTAAGTATGCTTAAAGTTTTTTATTTGAATAAATTTATTTTAAATCTTCTTCTGTTTATAATTAAACTAATTTAATGTAGACATATATTTTTAAATAAGGAAAAGTTGAAGAGAACATTTATTAACTTATAAAAGATTAAGGAGAGGAATTTTCTTAAGAATTTTAATTGTAATTTAACTATATATAAATATTTATATATTTTCATATTTTTTTTGTTTTTTAATAGATTCTTTAATAAATTAAAAGATACTTAAAATAATTATTATTGTGATTTTTATTTTGATATTTTAGTTGATTAATATAATTGTTATAATTAATGTCTTATAAAAATAAATATCTATGACAAGTAATCTATTTATATTTATAACAAAAATAAAAATATTTACAATAAAAAGATAAGGAAATAAATAAGAATATAATAATATAGATCATTAAAAATATGATGGAAAATTCGGATGTAGATATGAATAATTATAATTAACTTAAAATGGAATTTAAAATAATATAAAACTCCTAAAAAAATAATATAAAGATATTTGGGACAATTTCTAGGTTAAAATGACTGAACTTTAAAAACAAAATAATAACGATTTTTCAATCTATGAGTATATGAATTAATAATATTAAGATTTATCCTTAGCATAAGAATAAAATATAAAATTACATAATGATTATCTAATAAAACTTCTTTATTAATAATTAAAATAATATTATAATAACTTTGAAAAATATAGAATATATATGAGCCTTCTTGATATCATTATTGGAGGTATATTTGTTATTTTTTGGATTTTCTATTATAGATACCTTATTAAAAGAATTGATGATACTAAAAGTAAATTTGAATAAGTTGATGTTTAAATGTAATAAATGTCAGATTTATAAGAGTGAAAACTAATTTATTTATTATTTTATTTCTTAATTTTAGAATTAAATAAATTAATATGAAAATATTATTTATAATTGTATTTTTTATTTTTCGATTTATATATTAATTAAAAAAAAAAAAAAAATTTTTATTAATTATTTTTTATCTTTTAATAAAAAGTTATCAATATTTTATTATTTTTATATATTTTTCTAACAAAACTCAAATTTAATATACTCATTACGAAATATTATGCTAACTTTTCAAGTTTGATCTAACCTTTTGTAAATGTTCTAAATATCTTTATCTTAAAATAAGTTTCGCTTAACATATTTCTTTATTAAGCCCATCATAAGCTTTCATATTTTCAGTTAAATACTATCCATTAAATGCAGGATGATTAATTATTTATTTCTATTTAAAATAAAATAATTAAAATAATAATAAAAAAAAAAAAATACTTAAATTGGTTTAACATAAGGTTACCATAAAACTTTATTTTTACTTTTATCATCCATTTATTTCCTCGTAGTAGATTCTCCGATAAAAATGCCATTATTGCACATAGGATTTAAATTTTTAGGAAGAACAGCTTCTCTGGGTTATTAATAAGGTTAATCTTTAAAAGCATTTCTATAAGTAGTAGTAGAGAAAAACGGTAAGTTATCAATTATAGTTTTTACATTTTCATTTTTGATTTAATCAACTTGTTAATTATTCCAATTTAAATATTAAGTCTTTTTTTTAAAAAAAATAAAATAAAATAAAATAAAAAAAGATAATAAATAATAAGATTTATTTTTTTATTTACATTATAGGAAGTTTAAAATAAATTAAGTTAATTTTCTTTAGTATATTAATTTATTTCTTTTTTCTAATTCTATATGATTTTATAGGGAACATAATCATTCTAAAAAAATAATAAGGTTTATTTACTTATATTTAAAAAAGTATTTTTACTTTATTAACAGTTTAATAATCTCCTACAATAGTATCACTTTAATGTTTTAATTCTTTAGGTTTTTATAATAAAGGATCGATTTAAGTAATCAGTTTTCTTTTTTAATAGTTTTATCGATAATTCGAAATAGGATTAAATTTTAGATTTTAGTCAATATATAAAGATTATTATTTGCATCTTTAGACACACTAACCACAACTACATAAAATACATAAACAATTTCCTTTATTTATAAATTTTTATTATTATTTTTTTTAAAAAAAATAATAATAACCTGATTTATGGTTAAAATATTATGGATAGTTTTCCATTAATTATATTATAAATTAGGAATCTTAATTATAAATTAATATTTTTTCATTAATGTTTTCATTATTAATTTCATTTTTTTATATATTGCAGGAAACTTAGCTTTTATTATCATTAAAATTATTTAATTAATTATTAACTTTATCATATTTATTTGAATCTTTTAATTCGGTTAATATATCATTAAATTTTTAATCTGAATTTTCTTCATTTTTTTTTTCCTAAATATTACCATTTGTTTCTGATTTATATTCCAATTATTCTTTATTATTATTTTCTTCATTTTTACTTTATATTTTGCTTTATTCTTCTAATTTTTTATTATTTTCAATATATTCTTTGTATTATAAAAAATTCTACAAATGAGTACTTTAAGAAAATCCTTTTTCATATTACTTATTATATATAGACTAGTAAGGGTTTTCAATATTTACCGCTTTTGTTTCTTATGTTATACTATCAATTAATTTTCCTTTTTTATTTTTTATAATTATCCTAAACTTATTAGAAGATTAACTTTTTCTTGATTAATTTTCTGAGGGTAAACGTTTTTTATTCATTGAAAAATTAACTTTTTATTATTATTCTCCTTTTATATTTAAAAGCCTTTACTAAAATTCTTCTAATTTTTTATTTGATTATATCTCTTTTGTTTAATTATTTTATTATGAATATTTTAATCTATTTAATTTTTATTCTTAATTTTTTGTATTGGGATTATATTTTTCTTATTATTATGCTTATTTTTATTTTAATTAGAATAAAGTCTTTTAAAAAAGTGGTTAGCTTTACATTTTTATTTATTTATTTATTTTATAAAAAAGTCTAAATATATAAATATATCAGTTATACATATAAAAAATAAAAAAAATATTTATTGCGAAATAATATAAAATACAAAATATTTTTTATTAATGAGTATAAATTAAAATATAAATAAATTATATTAATTTAGACTAATTAATTTTGATAATTTTTTGTTTATTTAAAATTTTTTTAATATTAAATAAAATATTTTATTTATAAAAAAATTATTACTAATACTTAATTACAAAATACTTTATATAATTTATAAACAATAGTAATATATCTTATTTTTTCGGATGACAAAGCTTTTATTAATATTATAAATATAAGTTAGTTAATTTATACTGAATAAATCAATATCAAATTAAACTAAATTTCTTCTTATTTCAGATATTTTTTTCAGTTCAATTAAACAATAAAAATAATACTTTATTATTAAATATTTATAAAGATCTTTCATTAAATTTTAAATAAAAAATATAAAACTACTAAAAGTTTTATTCAAAATAAGTTATATTAATTTATTTTATTTTAAAATTATATATTTTTTAGCTTTTAAATATAAAAACAATATATTTTAGAAAATTAAATACAATATTAATTTTTTTATTGAAATTTTAAAAACTAAATATATAATAAAAAATATTATAAATCTATTTATATGTTTTTAATACTTCAATCATAAAATAAAAGCATTATTAAAATAAGATTACCTATAAATTAATATTTAAATTAGTTTTTCTTTCATTTTTTTAATTATTAAAACTTAATTCAGTATTTTAAGAAAGTTATTATTACTTTAAAATAAACTTTAGATGTTTAAAATTAATTAATATAAATTTTATCTTTAAACATACATATTATATAACAACAAGTATAATATAATAAAATATAAAATTGAATATAATATAAATTATTTAAAAAACCTAATATATAATAACATTTTAAATAAAACATTTTTTTAAAAATATATATTTAAAAAACGTTAAATATAATCATAAATAATTAATTTATTAAAAATAGTTTGATTTTTATAAAGATTAAAAATGTTAAGATATTTAAAATATATTATTCCAATAATATTAATTCGTATTTTATTTAAGTTATATTATTTTTTTATTGACTTTTTTTAAAAAAATAGAAAAAAATCATCATATTAAGTAATTTATTTAATTATAATAAAATAATAGTTTTAAATAACTTTTAATTTATAAAAAAATAAATTAATTAAATATATTAATTTTTTATTCATTTAATAGTTTTATTTTCATTTTGCTCTAAATTTATACAATAATATCTTAAAACTAATAAAATCTTTTTAAATTAAATTAAATTACATTTGCTTTTTTTTATTTAATTTAAGTTGAAATATATAATTATTATAACTTATATTGCTTTTATTTAAAAATATCATAAATAACATTAATAAGTTTTCTATTTTTTAATAAAGGTTTATATTAAATTAAATAAATTTTAAACTTTTCGAATGATTATATTAATTATTTTTTCAAAAATAAATAAATTATAATTAAATATTATAAATATATAAATAATTATAAATTAAAAAATATTTATTTATTTTAATTTATTATTTTAAAGATATTATATATTTATAAATATTATTTTCTTATATGTATATGATATTATTAATTAAAATTAATATTTCTGATATATATAAAATAAAATTAAATATCTTTGATATCTTATATCAATAAAAAAATTTTAATAATTCCTTAGTATAAATGAATATAAATTTAAAAATTTATGATTAAAACATATATTATCAATTATAGTTTATATAATAATATACTAATGATGATAAAGTTTATAATTAATAAAAAAACTAATATTTTATATATTTAAAATATTATAAATATATTAAAAAAAAAAAAAAATAAGTAGATAATCTTAAAAAAATGAAACGATCGAAAATTCCAACAATTTATAAGCCAATAAAATATTAAGAATTAAAACTAAAACTTAATAATATAAAGAAATAAATGATTATTAATTCAACAAACATATCGATAAATGAAGTTAAAAAAATAATAGTAAATAAAGCTTAATGGACTATAAGTTATTAGCATAAGATATAAATATAAAAATATTTAAAACCTTCATTTAAGAAAATTAAAATGGATGAAAAGTGAGATAAAATAAGATTGTTAAAAAAAAAAGAACAAAAATTATATAAATTAATTATAAAATAAAATTCAAAATATTTCAATAAATCGAAAAAAAAAAAAAATATATAATTAATTTTATAAGTATTATATTTAAATATTTATTTTTAAAAAGATATGAATTTAAAAATAGACATTTTTTTTTTATATTTTATACTTTAAATAAAAATAAAATAAAAAAATTAAAAATAAATAAATAAAAATATTTTTAAAGTAAATAAATAAATAATATAAAAATTAATATAATAAAAAAAAAAAATGTATTCTATTTTTTATATAAATAAATATATAATATATATATATAAATATATAATTATATATATATCTATTTCTTTTAGAATATGATTTATAAAATTTTATCACATTTTAAACCATTTATAATATCAATATCAACTGTAACTGGAACAACATTAGGCTATTTATATTATCTAACTTATTCAAATAGTAAATATTATTAAGAATAATTAGAAAACGAAGAATAATATAAGGACACAACAAGAGAATCAAATGAATTTTTTGGGCTTTCATTTGGTTATAAGGCAGATTATTCTGTAATACTAAAAATTTAAAAATATATCAGAAATAAAAAGGTTAAAGAATAAATAGATACAGGAGATATATTTTATATAAAGTATGATTGTAATGAATGTTTAAATATAAAATAAATGATATTATGCAATATATTATAAATATAAAATAATGAATAAAATTATGATTCAATTGGTTTTGCATATAGAGATAAAAATGGATTATATGTAATATCTAATTAATTTGGTGAAACAAAAGTAAAATATAAAACTAATAATAAAATAATTTAATAATTAATATTTTTAAGATAATGGAATATGCAGATTTTTTATCGTAGCCATTTCTTTAAGAAATTTCATTAAGAAAAATTATTTTAAAAAAATAGAATTCAAAAAAATTTTAATTGAAAGTCAAAGAACATTTCTTAAAAATTAAAAAATAAGGAAATATAAAATAGTATATTATATATAAAAATAAAAAAATATGTATATATATATATATATATATTATTTTTATAAATTTTATATACTTATATATAAATTTATATATATTTAAATTATCATTTCTTATATATTACTATTTTTTATATTTATTTATATAAAAATATATATTAATAATTTTTATTTTTATTTATAATTTATTAGAAATGCTGAATAATTTGCATTAGATTATATAAAATAAATTAATATTTTACATTCATATGTCGAAAAATAATAAATATATCCTATTATAAATGATTATGATACCTAAAAACCCTTTTTTTTTGACAAAAGTTTCTAATTAGATAATAAATTAGTTATCAGAACTGCTACAAACAGATAGTTAAATAGTAGCAATTTATAAACTAGTTTAGCTACCTTTAAAAAATGAATAAAAAAAATATTAAATTATATACATAAACTTTATATTTTATCAAAAAAAAAAAAAAAAAAAATATAAAAGTTTATTTTTATGAAATAATAAAATAATCAATTTTATAATAATTTCTTATTTTGTTAATTATCTAAATAAAATTTCATATTTTCATAAACAACAAAAGTAATTGTATTAGCAGGTAAAACCCTAATTAAATCTATTTTTAAACCCCCATAAAGGCCTTTAATACCCTCTTTTTATATTACTTCTCTCACAATATTCTTTATTTTTAATCTATCTTTAACCTTAAGTTCGGAATAATTTTATCTATTATCCTATAAAAGAGTTCTAATAACAATATGTGGATAAGTAATACATTATGCTAAAGCTTTTTTAAAAATAAATAAATAAAAAAATTGCCTTTATTAACAATAAAATATTTAATTATAATTAATAATTACCTTTAGAAATTAAAGATGATATGAATATTTGAAATGAATTTATTTTTGTTTTATTTTAATCATTAAATGTTTATAATTATTCTTTTAAGTATTCATATACAGGAAAATATATTCCTACATGAGTAAGTCCTTTTTATAGAAAAAACATTTTTTTAACATTATTTATACAGTATATATATAAAAAAAATATATATAAAATACCTATAAATGAAGATCCTAATCCTTTAAATAAAGCTTAATAACCTTCCTAATTTATATATATATATATATAAACAAAAATAGTTTTCTATAAATAAAGTATATACTTGTTAATATATTTTAATTAATGTATCGAAAACTCCTCCAGTATATAAATTTTAATTAGAATGCATATGTTAAACCATTAATCTTGTTCGTACTATCTAAAAATATATATAAATATAAATAAATAAATAAATATATATATATATATATATATATATATTGTATAAATTTATATAATTTATATATATATATATATATATATTTATATATTTATTGTATAAATTTATATAATTTATTATTTTTAAAATAAACTCAATACCCATAAGGGATTAGTTATAACATCACATATCAAACCTGTCATAGATGAAGATATTATATGTTATACATGCATACTTAAATAATTGAAATTTTAGTTTATTATAGGCTTCATTTTATTATAAATAGTAAAAAATAATGAATGAAATAATGGAATACTAAAAACTGTTGCATTATAACCTATTTTTATTATTCTTAAATTAAGATATTAATATTTTAAAATAAACCCTTATAAAATCCTCTAACCCCTTCTTCCATTTTTAACCTTTTTAAAAAATCTATCAATCCTTTATATCTAATTTCAGTACCTTAAGAATACTTTTTTTTTTTTTATAAAAAAAAAAAAAAATTAATTTATTCATTACTCAATTTTTTATATATTATTATTTTTTTAAAAAAAAAACCATAATATTAAACCTACATCTAGCTACATCTAAAGGAGCACAAACAGTAACTGAAACAAATCCTGCCAGAAGTCCAGAAATAAAATCTTTATACATTTAATTACTTTTTTGTTATTATTCGACCATTTTGTATTTATTATTATTATTGAAAATAATTAGGAATATTTATTATAAAATATTAAAAAAATAAATATAAAATTATATATTAATTTATTTAATAAGCTTAAATTTACTTTCTGAATATAAAATATTTATAAAAAGATAAAAAACTAAAAAATTAAATACTATTTAATATATATTAAATAAATAAATATTTTATTTTTTTATATCAAGAAATTTATATTTCTATCAACAAAAATTATGAGAATATCATAATTTATTTGTAATATTCGAAAAAGAACTTTTACTATCATCTTTTTTAGATAAAACTTGACTTTTAATTCGTTAATTTTAAATATTTCTTTCATTAATTTTTTAAGAATAAGCTTTTGCTCTAGTAATATTTTCAAGTTTTTGTTTTTCAGCTAATTCTTATTTCATTTTTTCAATTTAAACATAATCATTTTATTTCTTTTTTTTTAATTTCCAATAGTAGTACTTTTAGATCTAAATAAAAGTGTCTATTAATTTTTTACAAAAAATGAATTATTATTATTATTATTATTATTATTATTATTATTATTATTATTATTATTATTATTTATACTATTAATATTATTTATACTATTTATATTATTTATACTATTAATATTATTTTAAATTGAAGAATTAGAAATATTTGTATCTTCATTTTACTTTTATTATTATTTTATTGTTTAATCAAAATTTTTTTATGATTATTCTTCCAATTCTAATCCAAAAGTATTTTTTCTTAAAGTTTAGTCAATTTAATCAATAATAACAAAACTACTTTGTTATTTATTTAATTTTTAATTGATTTTTTCGATTTCTTATTTCAAACTTTCTTCTATTCTATCTTCTATTTTTTTTAATTTTATTAATTTTCTTTATTACTATCGTCAAAAGTATTTTCTTTATTTTTATTATAAACAAAATTTTCTTAATTTTCCTTTAAAATATGTTCTTATTTTTCTACTATTATATTTTTTTTTTTTCTTTCTCTAAAATAATTTCTTATTTTTTATTAGTTTAATTATTTTCATATTTTTTATACAATTAATTATTTTCTTATTATTTATGAAAATTAATGTTTTCTTATTATTTATTTAATTGATTATTTTTTCTTTCTTATTATTACTTAACTAAAGTATATACTTATTTTTTTTCTTTTCCAAAAACTCTTGAAGTTAGTTTAATTATTCAATATATTAATTATTATTATTTTATTACTAATTTTATTAAGAAAAATTTCTCTTAGATTATTCAAACATATTATTTAAAGAACTTCCTTTATAAAACGTATTACTTTTACTTCTTTATAAGATTTATTTATACAATAAATTGCTATTTTCTCCAACATTTAATAAATTATTATTAGTTTAATTTTTTAATGAAAATTCTTAAACACAATTATATTTTTCTAAATTATTATTATTATTTTGAATATGACATGATTTATTATTTTAATTTTATTAGAACATTTATAATATTAAATTTATTGTTTTTATAAAAAATTATTTATTATCAATTTTTAATAAATTTTCTAAAAATAATTTTTAGTTTCCGAATTTTTATTCAAATTATTCTCTTACTATAGGATTCTATTATATTAAATTCGTTAAGTTTTTTACTTCACAGTACATTTAAGCCCTTTTTTATAAATAAATTTTATTATTTGAAATTTCTTATTCCAAAGAGCATTCCTAACTTTTAAAACTATCACAATTTTTTAAAATCGGATATATTTATTATTATTAAATATTGTTTGTTTAATCCTTTTTATTTTTTGAAATAAATTTTAATAAAATAAAAAAAATTGAGTGAATTATATTTTAGTTACCAATAAATTATTCAATTTAGTAATTATTATTTATATCTGATATTCTAAATTATCTATTCTTTTTTTTTTTTTCTTATTTATATTTAGAATTTATTTATACTTTTTTATGACGTTTAAAGAACAGCAAGATTATTTCATATTATGATCTTTATATTGAAATACATTATTATTATTATAATTATTATATAATGATTTATTTATTGTTCTCTTTTATTCTTTTTAGAAATTTTATTCCTTATTTTTCTATAATTAATTAACTAATAAATTCTTTAGGTAACGTTTTTCTTATTTCAAATTACCAATTTGTATCTTTGCATTTTAAAGTTAAACATCCTATTTTTTATTTTTTTTAACAAAGAAAATAAAATATTAATAAATAGTATTTTTTGCTTTTTTATAATAAAGATGAATAATTATAATAATAAAATTATATTATTCATTAAGCTTTTTATAAAAATAATATTAAATAAAAAACTTTTTAATAATTTTTAATTGGATAAAGATACGTGTAGTCCATTTTAATATTGCTGTTAATTAAAAAATGTTATTTTTGAAATTATTATTATATATAAAATATAAAAAATAAAATATTAATAAAATGTTAAAATTAATTATTTAAATAGAGTATAAAAAATATTATAAATAAAATTGTTTTTTTTTAAATAAAATAAAATAAAATATATTTATGTTATTTAATTTTTTTTTAATACAACTTTAATAATAAAATATTTTTTATAATTAAATTTATATACTAAATAATATGTTTTTATTTATATCATTCAATTTTATCTTTTAATTATATTTTATAATACTTAATATTCGTATTTAAAACTATTTTTCTTTTTATTTTTAAATAAATAAATATTAAATAAAAAAAAAATTATTTACTTAAAGATAATCTAAAAAAATATTAATTATTTTTCTATCTATAAATTGTTCATTAAAAATTATGTTAAATTATTATTTATTAAGTAAATCTAATGATTCTAATTTAAATAAAATAATAATATATTTTTTTTTTTTAAAAAAAAAATATATAATAATATTATATCATTTTTACCCACTACTTTCTACACATTTATTTTATTAAATTATTAATAAGAAATAAATTTCTTGAATTACAAAACTAAATTATTTTAATCTAGCTCTTTTAAAAGTTTTGCAAACAAAGCAACTTCATTACTATCAATACTAAACAAAATCAAAAAAAAGTCACAATTGTTCATATTTAAAATTTAGTCAATTATTTTTTTAATTGCATCCCAAAAATAACTATTATTTTTATTGATTTCTTCATCTTATAAACATTTAGGAATTTATTAAATAAAATTTTCTATTATATGGCTTTTACTATATAAAAAATACATAAATAATAATAAAAAAAATGAAATTTTATGAATAACTTTTTAAAAATTTAAATAATATAGCTAGTATAAATATTCCAAAAATTCAATTAAACATAGCTTTCCCATTATATTGTCTACTAAAATAAAAGTTTAAAATCAAATATGAAAGAAATTATATAATAAGAGTTTATTTATGGTATAAGATCATTTTAAATGAATCTATTTGAGCAAAATTAGCATATAGCTTAAATAAACGTATAATCAACAAAAAGTATATCTGAATTATTATTAATAAGCTTTTTTTATATATAAAAAATATTTTTGTTTTTTGTTTTACAGTTTATATTAAATAATTGAAGTTCCTTGGACCTAAAATTAGGAATATTTTAGATAACTAATCATAAATAACATTAATTTTTTTAATAATATAATTAATATAAATATTTTTTAGGCTTTAATTATATTCTTTATTATTTGTTGAAGAAGAAATATGAATAATAAACAAAGAAATTATATTGTCATTAATAGAATAAATTTCATTAAATACAAGTTACAAAAATTCTAACTCGTTTTTCATTTTAATATAATCAATCATTATATTAAAAAATTGAATACAAATATTATCTTAAATTACTCCAAAAAAAAAAAAAAACAAAAAAACAAAAAATAATTAAAAAATTAAAATAAATTTAAATATTATTTTTTATAATTATTATTATTACTTAATTGATAATCGTCGAAATGATTTTGAAATAAATTATAAATTAATATAGCTAGTTATTAACTTATTAATAAAATATTACTTTAAACATTTTTATTAACTGAATATTCATTTATTATAAACTTTATTTATAGAATTTTTTTTTATTATATTTAAATATTAATACTTTAATTAATTGTTAAAAAGTGCTTTTTGAAGGTTATTAACAAATAGAAATAATTTAATCTTAAAAATTTTGAAAGAAAAATTTATTAATATTAATTTATGCGAAATCCTTAATTTAAACTTACTTTTTAATTAAAATGTCATTATTTTAATTTTTTTTTTTTAATTATCTTTTATTATTTCTTATTCTGGTTATTTTTAAAGATATCGTACTTAAAAAGGATCATATGCAATATAGTCTAATTATTCATCTTCATATAAATCATTTTTAGGATAAGGAGTATCTAAAAGATTTTTATTTAATTCATTAAAAATTTTATGGTCTTGAAAGTTCTCCTTTACATTTTCAGGATCGTAATTCTCTAATACGTTTTTAGGATCATAAGTTTCTATTTAAATTGAATCTCCTATATCTTCTGTTTATTAAATTTCAAAATCCTCAATCTAATAATCTTTTTATATTTCATATTAAGTATTATTTATTTATTATTATTATTAATAAGATGAACATGTAAATAATAGATTAAGTTCTTTTTTAATGTCAGGCTAATAAATTTAAGATAAAAGAGTTTCTAAATTACTTTAAAAAATTTTAAATTTATTTAAATTTATAGGTAATATTTACATAAATCCTCTTTATTAAGCAGATAAAAAACAATTTTTTATTGAACATCTTGATTATTCAAGTTTTTATGGATTAAACTTCTATGCATACAATATAAGGAATTCTAGTAATTCCTAAGAAATATCCTATTATTTAATTGTCATATTAATAAGTTAAATACCTGGAACAATTTATTTATAAGCATCATCTTTGCTTAAAAAATATTGTTAAAATTACATATTTATATATATATATATATATATATATATATATATATATATTTATTTAAGTTATATTTTACTTTTAAAAAAATAACCAATCATAAAATAT